CTGTAATAGTTTGTAATAAATACTCGCTTGAACGCGATAATACTTTAATTTGCGAATAAATCGTTGGATGTGAATGTAAAAATGGCTGTAGATTTAAAAGAGCATTTATTAGAATCATATAATACGTGTTCCTCCGCCAAAAAAGTCTAGTGGTTTTAAATTTCGGTTTTCCTGGTCGGTTTCCATTATTTTCGAAAAATAAATTCTGATATTTTCATATTATGAATTTAATACTTGTCGCAATTGTTTTAACACATAGGAGAGACTGTCACACACTTTTTACGTTCGAATTAAAATAAAAAAATATACATGAAATTCCGTAATATTATATATATTTTTACGTAGCTGCAACTTTTAGCTTTAAAAAATAGTAACCTTATATGTATTCGTGCACAAAAAATTATTAAGCTCAAAGCAACATCGTGCAAATTGGATAACTGACTCCATATTCTGGGTCGGTTGTCACATGTCTTTCATAATGTAAGGGAAACAATATATACAATTTTCGTTCAACGTTTCTTTAATATTTTAACAAAGTTAATCATATCACACAGTCACAGTGCAGTTTTACCTCTACTTGTTTTACCTTGTTTTACCTGTTTTTCGGTCTCGCTTTCATGCGTAACCAAAAAAAACAACTAAAATCCTACATTTCTACTTCTGGCAAATATTTTTCAAGGACGGGACGAACTATTTCATTTGAATCAAGCAAATGTTACACGAACGGCAGCATTATTTTCGGTGTGAGAATAGAAAATTTAGATTCAAAGCAATTTGCCGAATCGATCGAAGCGAGGGTGAGAGGGAGGGAGCGGGGAAAGCACTTCGGTGCGCTTGAATTATCCGATGAGAGGCGACAATTCGCCGACATACGTTTCTTCGTCGCTACGGAAAATAACACATTAGGCGGATTGGCGCGCATCAGAAATGAATAGCTCTCGTCGACGAATGCGGCGGGATACGTTTAGCCGAAGCGCGAGCAAACTCGCGTGCGGCGTCACGGGGGTGGCGAAAGGGTTGCTCTAACAAGTTCGCACAACGAGGGACCCGCGCGGCGGTATAATAGAACTCGCGCGTAATACGGAATCCAGCCGCGTTACTCGGCCCGTATTACATCGTCCCGCACGTGTTATCCGGCCTCCCTCGGTTACCTTTGGACAGGAGGACGAGCGTGTGTGCAGGCGCAGACATAACCCGTATGCAATATGCATAACGCAGCCGGTGACGTATTTCATGAGAGAGCGAACGAAAACCGCGATATTCTGGACGGCGGCGCGATCGAACCGCGCGACCCCAAAAGCGTTTTTACGATCTACGAGAATAAAGTCCGCGTTCCTCTAACGTTGGCATATACAGTACCTTCGCCGCGCAAGGACAAAGTCTCTTTCTTCCTCTCTCTCGGACACGTTAGTCCCGTTGGCTCGCGTTAATCTTTCAACGACGATTAACAATCCAGCCGAGATCGAGCCCGCGACCGGCCGAGAGATCCCGCGTGCTTATTCCCATCGTGCGGTCAATTTGCAAGTTCCCTGGTGAAAATTTAAGGGCGATGGAAAGGTCCTAGGCATCGTCCTGAATTGAGAAACCCATTCGGTCGACTCAAACAAAATGCTTACTTGAAAATCGGTAAACAACTGTTTTCTTTTCTTTTTCATTTTCATCGCAGAGAACCAAACCTTTGGTTCATAGAACCGAATTTTCTCACAACTAAAAAAAAAAAAAAAATTCGCCCGTACCCAAATAAATATTTTGCTCGAGTCAACTAAATGAGTATCTCAATGTAACTTTTCCCGTTTTCTTTTTTTCTTTTATCTAAATCTTGTTCAGGCAGGTTCACTTAAATCCTGCGTAGAAATATAACGTTCGTATAATTTAGGACGGAATTTGTGTGTCTTGCAGCGCGGTTATCCGCGCCGTGGTAATTCTCGCGTGCGCGGTGAGAAATTCGCGCGGCGCCCGAGGAAAGAAAAAGCGTGAAGGAAGGTCTGATTGGACAAATGATCTCGGAGGAGATCCCCGCCGCTTCGGGGAAGAGCCTCATGCGGGACTGCAGCGGGCGGGAGGGGGAGAGCGGACTCGATAAATCATCCCGGGAATTGCGATCCGCGCGATAGGGGCGCAAAACGTTCGCGGGCGTTGAAGAAAAAAAAAAATGCGCTCCTTTGTACGCCGGCCAAACTACATCCACCGAAGCTTGACGCGCTTCTTGCGGGGCTCGCGTTACAGCGAGTACTCCGGTACGGTGGCAAAAAGTCGCGTGTACGACCGACGTGCTGGCTCTGTTTGGCCCGCCGTTGCTGCTTGATTAACGAAAAACCAGGCGACGCACGGAGCGAGATACGTCTAGTTTCGCGACGGCGGAAATACGTTTGCCGGACAAACCGAATGAGAAACACCGAGAGACATGCGCAAACACGATTAGAGCACGAATGATACACGTTATCGGTGTACCAACACGATCTTTGTTCTAATTAATCAGTATATGACTTCCTTAGTGTGTATGTGTGTGTGTGTGTGTGTGTATCTCTTGTTACATCTATCTCTCACCACGAAAAACACTGATTAGCACTTTTAGACGTAGACTCGGATGCGGACCGAGTGACTATTAGCATGGGAGTGTGTCGAAGGTCTTTGGTGGATCCTGATCGCTCGTTTCTCGTCGATGTTGAACCTCCCCTAATTATCATCCCGACCTCTCTATCTCCCATCTTTCTCTTTCTCTCTTTCACTCTTTATATATATATATATCTCCGTGACCCGCATGCCCTCTCTCTCGTACCGATCCGCTTCTGCATTGCTAGTTCTATCGATAGTAGCTATCGGCCGATAATTACGTGGCTGGCTGTCTTCCTCCACAGGATTTAACGTACGGGGAGGGCGGCCACAACTGGCGGAGCATAGTTTTCTCGCTGCTGGTCATCGGCTTCGTTATCGCCGGCATCGTCACGGCCATTTATCTCCTCGGGTGAGTCCACTACGATATTTCCCTGCGCGCCTACCTAACTCTTGCGCTCTTATCGCGAGTAGCGCACTCGCGCCGACTCGTTTGTTCGCGGGCGCGCTGATATTCGCCGGTGATATAACGGCTGAAGCGCGTTATCGAGTTACAAAGTTACGGGCGTACCGAGAGTAGCCGGACGTTACGCTTAACGAGTAACCGAAAACGCCGTGTAAATTATACAGTGGACGACGAAATTACAGGTACGTCGACGAGCTGCTGTACTGGAGCGGCAGGCGTCTTACGTTGGACGAGTGCCTTCGTGATGACCTGACACCGCACAGGTTACCACCGACCTGGATCTCCCACGAAAAGTTCGTCTACCAAGCCGACGACGGTTCCCTCACTCTCCTGGACACCAGCGACAATATCGTGTCCCTCTTAGTCTCTAATCATACGCTTGTACGTATACACGCGCATGAATACTCATATATATATATATATAATATATATATATATATATGTGTGTGTGTGTTACACATACACGTACGCACACACGCGTGGGCGTGCGAGCTCTTTGTGCTCGCGAACCGCATGACGGTAAACTTGCTGATGACACTCGCAGCGTCGCGTTGTCCGACGGGCTCGACGATATTCAGTACAGCAGCCGGTTACCGCGCGTCGCACCACGACGATAAATTCCTACTCTTTCCACCCGTAAATTCACCGCCCCCCCCCCTCCCCCCGTGAATGTTGTGAAAAACTACCGTGTCCGTTAATTGAAAAATTCTTCGTTACGCGGCGAGGGTTTATGAAATGAATGTGACAGTGAGGGCGGGGGGAGACGAGAACAAATGAATGGACGGTAAAATGCCCGATATAAAAATACACAGTCGCATAGTGAGTAGCTAGATTATCACCGGCGATAAATAAAGGAATTAATTAGACGCGCGGACACACCTGTGCGTCGGCTGTAAAAAGTGTTTAAGCGCGAGAGCTCGTATCTTGATTAACGAGCGACGGACTAATTACGACGTCTACGTTCGAGTACCTACAAAATGATTGCGCAATTGGTGCAATCGCGATTAATTATGCCGGAAGTCCGCTTCTAAATTACGCAACGATCGAAACTCCGCAATACGTCTGACGTAAGAGATAAGTCGGCCGGTGTGTAATTTCGCCACCGGCCGAAGTGTAAGGGCCACGGCAGAATAGTTGACTTATAATTTTGAGATAATGTTTTATGCCCTAAATCCTTACCTGAATTATCATTCGTTTACTCTTTTTCGTCATAGGACGGTTTGTCAACAATCACAGAACGGCTCTTTAGTTTGAGATTCAAGACACAGAACAGACATTGTGTTACTTAAGGACAAAGAAACCTTTGAACCAAAGAAAGAGGATTTAAGAACTTAAAGCATAAGTGCATGCATGTCCATGGATATAAAGAAGAAATCAGATAAATGATGCGCGACTGCTAACTTGCTCTCCTACCTCTTTGAATTTTTCTCATGGAAATCCGAATGCTTTCGAACATTCTATTAAACGCACGACATTATACATTTCCTATCTACATTTAATCATAAATTGTTTCATCATTTCATTCTACATCTTCTTCTGACATTTTCCACTTATTATCATCATTATAAAACATTGTCTCAAACTGGATAGGTCAGCCATTTTGTTGAGTTCGAAGATTGTAGCTAATTTTAATCCTCAGACGCGCCGTGTAATTCGCGTAATCATCATGAGCGATCGGACGTTATTAATAGAAGGTTATTCCGGGAAGTATCGCGCACGCGAGCGAGAACGACAAATCGACCCGCTCGGAATCAATTTCGATATTAACCAGTCCCGTATCACACGTTAAACAAACTAATCCCATTTGAATGCGAGCTCCGTGCCGAATAAAGTCGCGGCCGGCGCGAATGGGAATACTCGGGGTTAACGAGTTGTCGAATTTTTGGCAGGTGAACGCCGGATCCGGCATCCTGGCGAATCCGTTTACCGGGGGAGAGATCGATTATTTCCATCGGATTTCAGCGGATCCCTAAATCACGGGCCCCACGGCGCGGAATATATCCGTATTAGCGATGCGCCGAGGTATCTTAGCCCCCACGCGCGGGGAGCGCCTAATCTTCCGGCGCCGAGCTATTGTCGCGCTCATCCACGATTAATTGCAGGCGTGTACCGAACTCCCCGCGCTCGCCAGATAATTACGCGCTAATTGGCGCGCAAATATAATTCCCGCGACGCGTAAACCGCCCGGCTGCGAACGCATCCTTACGGCGCGCCCGGAATATTCGCCATGAAGACGTGGGAATACACGAAGAAGTGAGCCGCCGTCGGATATAAATATGTGCGAGCGTCGTGCCGGGGAGTGTTAATTTTAATTTCCCGGCCGCGAGTTTCCTCGTCGGGGAAGGTAAGTTTGATCAAGAGAGTACGAGAAGACGTGTATCTCCGCGCGAAGTATCGCTCTTCCGGCTCGCGGCCAACCTATCCGACTTCGCTGCTCCCTTTCTTCAAGAGCTCGTCGCGTTCCCCGTGGATTTCTAATTGGAACAAATTGTCGGCGCTTCGAGCGAGACGTTTCCAGGCGTGTTTACACGGACAACAGTTCGATAGGCGATTGAGAATAGGAGGAGGAGGAAGGAGCGAATCTCCATCGAAACCTCGGCCTTTCACACCGATCGGGGTGCTTCTCGTGCGAAATGCGTCGTAAAACCAAGACTGTGCTGCGTATAAAACGGAATCCGAGACATTCCAAGGTTTACTCGCGGCTGGAGGCGCGAGCAACCTGGTAAATCGGGGTTATCCCACATACCGCAGTATTGCGCTTCATGCTCGACTCAGGTGCCGTTTCCTCGAGGCGCTTCGACAACAACGGGTAATCATTCGCGGCGGAAAGAAACGCACGCGCTGGCGCTCACAATAATTATGTCTCCCGGGAATTGTGTTCACGCGTTTAGTTTCATCGTCGCTCATCGCTCCACCCGCCGACGGTGCGGCCAGAACATCGCGTGAATATTTATTATTCGTAGAACGGAGCGTCGCAGAACTCGAGACGGCCCTTAGGCTGCCGAGTAACGCGGAGAGAAAGAAGGAAGCGGCGGGAGGAAAGCGGCTTATAAGGAGGCAGGAAGAGTGATTGATTTCGACAACGCTGGCGCAATAAGTGTGCGTGCGCAAGAGAGAGAGAGAGAGAGAGGGGAAGAGAAGTCCACTCGGTCTGGAAGAGTTCCAAATCCGCGTCCTTTTTCCTCCCCGTGCCGCCAGACGGTGTATAGACGAGCGTATACAGCGCATTGATCCGATCTGGCGTCCACCAGGACACGCCGCGCCCGCGTCTCGCCGCTCTTTCGGGCACGAGTATCGACTGCCGCCCCCAAGTAATGTCTGCACGCGACGGTACTATCGACGAGCCGCACTCTCGAGGGCGGATATTCGCCGCGCAAGAATCCGCGTCGCGGTTATCCCCGTCCGTCCGGAATCGCGACTCGCCGCGAAAAAAGCCCAGCGAGGTCGTGTGCTAATGATCCCCCGTAACTCCGGGAGCCAATGGCGACGCTGTTAAAAGTTTCACAATGCATCCCATCTTATCGCAAAAATGAGCTCGGGGGGAGAATGAGAGAAACGCTCAGGGTAAGGAGGGGGGAGACAGCGCGAGCTGGTGGAAACTGTCTCGGTGCGACGCGATCGGCTTCCAAATTAGATCGTAACGCCGAGACGAGAGCCGCCCGACGGGAGTTAACGTAATTTTGATCGGTTAACCTTCTTTTTCCAGAGGCAACTGAACGTTCAGGGCTACGAGTGCAGCTCCGACCTGCGTTATGTGCTGTTCAGGCACAATGTCAAGCCGGTAAGTAGCTTAAAACACGGGAGCCTCGCTCGGGGGAAAGTTTCTCGCGCGGCAGCTGCATCCCAACTTTCTGATCTGCGGCTTATCGACGGTGTCCCGGGCATGTAATACGACGGGGTGCAATTTAGTTGCAGTTAGGAGTCGATTATCGCTATCGAAAACACATCAACCTTTTCCGCTGTGTGTGCTCTCTCCCGACGGGTCTATACTTAACACGATACAAACGCACCATTTTTCGCAGGTCTTCCGGAACACCTTCACCGCTCATTACACCGTCTACGATGTCACGAACGAGTAAGTGTGAGAGCGATGTGACGGATGTTTTCGCAAATTCATTGTTTCCTCGCGTTAAATTCGCTCTTGCGAACTTATATCAGGAAAGAGATAAGAGAACGAAAAATTGCCTCGATACAATTTAAGTCATGTGCTCGTCTTTACGATTATTCTAACGGCCGCGTGATTCGAAATCCGACAGCCATCACACACCCCTTCGGTTGCAAGCGTCGCGACGTATGCAACAGACGCGGCTGCAACACGCTACGTGGTTGGGCAACACGTCCAGCCTCCTGATGATCTGCGAGAACGACATTTATCTTAGGACGGCGCCCGCCGCGACGGAGGACATCCGTCTGACCGACACAGGCGTGCCCGGGGTGATCTACAACGGCGTGCCCGACTGGTTGTACCAGGAGGAAGTGCTACCGAAACCGCAAGCGACGTGGCCAAGCCAGGACGGCACACATATCCTTTACGCCACGTTCAACGACACCCGAGTGACCGCGTTGCAGTTCCCGTGGTTCGGCACGCAGCTGGGTCAAGACGGTGCCAGCTCGAGTCCCCTGGGCTCACCCAGGAGGGGCTCCTTCCCGCCCTCTAGGTCGGTCAGATACCCGACGCCGGGCTCGCCGAATCCGGAGGTCGAGCTGTGGATCATGGAACTCAGCAGTCTCAACGCGACCGGCTACAACGCCACCGGGAACGTCACGTGGCCGAGCAAATTGAAGCTGAAGCCGCCGCCATCCTTGGATGGATTGTACGTCACGTTGTCGAGGGCTCCTCGATTAGCTCCTAATCGCTAAATGAGTAACTGAATTTTCCCTCGATCAATACTCAGACTCGGTAGCGGGCGGGATTTGAGGGGAAAAAAAAAAGAAAAAAGACGGGAAGAAAAGAGATACAAGTGTCGGTTATTCTTGCTCGCGTTCTCGCATCGCGCAGTGACACCCCATAGTGACCCTCGCGAATTCCTCGCGAATGTTTTCAGAGACTGCTATCTGATATCGGCCGGCTGGATCGGCGGGGACGCCTCGCAGATCGCGGTCGTCTGGATGACGAGGATGCAGAATCTCTCGGTGGTATCGGCCTGTCACGCTCCCACGTGGGAGTGCGAGGAGACCCATTCGGAGAGGGCGCCCGAAGGACTGTGGCTGGACGCCCAACCGCACCCTCTCTTCGCTCCGGACGGTGACAGCTTCCTGCTGCTGGCCACGGTGCAGGAAGGTGACAAGGAGCATTTCACGCACATAAAACACGTCACGCTCACCCAGCAGAGAATAGCGGTGCTCTCTCATGGTCGCTACGAGGTGAGCGACATTTAAGACGGAAACAACGCGAAACGTATGAATTTTATCCGAGAGAGACGATGATATCATCGTATAAAGTCGCTTCATTTTAACCCGGGGATACCTTTGCACGGTATCCTTTCCACACGCGATCGAGACGATCGTCCTGTGTATAAGAATCATTTTCATTCGTTTACATACACTGAGAGAGAGATTGTAATTATCTTCAACCTCAATTATACCTCTCTATGACGATAACACATTTTTTCTCCCCGAGTGTAAGAATCGTCTACGTAAAAAGATAAGAATTGTGAATCGTAAATGGACAGGTGAGCGAGATCTTAGCGTGGGACACCAAGGCGCATCTCGTGTATTATCTGGGCACCAGAGAGAGAAGACCCGGGCAGAGACATCTGTACGTGGTGCGCGATCCCGCTGCGGACGATCCTCGTCACTTCGAGCCGTTGTGCGTCACGTGCGACCTCGGCAAGGTTCTTTGGAGCAGTAGGCAAGTCACCCATCCCGTAGAGATATGACGTACTAGAGAGAGAGATACGGGCGTGCGATCGAGCGAATATTCTCGTCGCGAAAAACCGCAGGTTCTACTACACCAATTGCACGCACTTCGGCGCATCCGTTAGCCCACCGGTGGCCAACGACACGCAGGGTTACTACGTGCTGTACTGCGAGGGCCCCGGCCTTCCTCTCGCGGCCGTGCACACGATGTCGACGCATAAGATGCTTCGCGTGCTGTACGACACGAGGACCCAACGCGCGGACAAGCTCTCGGAACTGGCACTGCCTACCAGACGGAATTTCGAGGTGAGTTCATCATTGTCGTCGAATTTCCTCTCATCCTGTTTGTCTTGCAATCGATAAATACAATCCCGAATGATCGAGCAGGTGCCGTTACCCCAAGGTTGGCGGGCGCAGGTGCAGCTGCTGCTGCCTCCTTCGTGGCGGGAGGAGCTCAGGGACGCGGCGTTTCCCGTGCTCGTTGAGGTGAACGGCCGTCCGGGCAGCGAGGCGGTCACGGACAAGTTTCGAATAGACTGGGGAACTTACATGTCCAGCCACAACGACGTAGTCTACGTGAGACTGGACGTACGGGGCGCCCGGGGTCATGGGAAGAAGGATCTCTTCAGGAGGATAGGCGGCGTCGAGGTACAGGATCAGCTTACGGTGCTGAAGCACCTTCTGGAGAAGCACAAGTATCTCGACATTAGCAGAATCGGCGTCTGGGGATGGGGTTACGGCGGATACGTGACCGCAATGGTCCTCGGCAGCCAGTCTTCGAACAACGCCTTCAAGTGCGGCATCGCGGTCAATCCGATCGCCGATTGGATGTATTATAGTACGTAGCGTAGACTTCTTTCTAGATTCTTCACCGCGATCGTCCGTATGAACTGGATGTTGCACCATTATACAGGTTATATGACGTGTCGAAGTTTCATTACTCGAATATAATGTATCGAAGATTCAGAAATTCGAAGCTTCGAATATCATTTCTAGCTTTATCGCACAATGTCGAGACCCGTTCAGTCGGCATAGAAGCCTAAGCCTGCCGTCGTATAACGGGTCTATGTTGATGCAACACCCTGTATACGCCATTAATCTCTCGGACTCGCGTCGTAATTTGACGAAAATCTCCTCGCCCGTAGATTCCGCGTTTACGGAACGAGTTCTCGGCGCCCCGGCTGAGAACTACAAGGGTTACGTGGAGGCCGATCTCACGCAACGGGCGAGATTGGTGCCTAGTCACAGCCTTTACCTTCTTCACGGTCTAGCCGACCTCACAGCGCCTTATACGCACGGCGTTGCCTTCGCCAAGGCTCTGTCCGAAGCGGGAGTCATCTTTAGATACCAGGTAAGAGAGATGGAACGACGTACTCTCTCGCTCTTGTGTACCTAACAATCGCCTTTCCCTTGGAAACAGAGTTACGCGGACGAAGATCACGCCCTGGCGGGTGTGCTCGAACACGCTTATCGTTCCATGGAGGACTTCCTCGCCGAGTGCCTCGCCTTGGATGCCTCCTAGTGCCTCAAGCCGAAAAATTCTTTGTTGTCTCTAGTGCGCCTATTTCCGACACATCCAGAACGAACGTTAATACGGGGACTCGTCCTCGAGATCACGGCAATTACTCACGCGAGCGGAAAGCTCGATCTCCCGGAAGCTCGTCTTCCAAGAGTCTGAATCGCGAAAGGATTCAGGTCGTCGGCTGGAGATGCGCGGCAGGGCGAGAGGAGATTTGCGAAGGATATCGGAGGAGGACAACGGGCGACGCGCGCCTCTCTCGCGTGAATTCGACACGTCGATAATTTCCGTAATCCGCCGAATAACGCGGGAATCCTCATCGAACGCGGGGAGCGATAGGTTCGACGATGATGCGCGAACAGCGAAGATACGAAAGGGATAAAGGGGAAAGAGAGACGGACGCACGTATTTGCCGTGAAATCGATCTCGGGCGAATCTCGAGAAGCGAAGGAGTAAACGAGGCGCGTGTTCGAAAGCGCAGACCGAATTACTACGTGCGGAGCTTACCGACGGCTTGCAAATTCAGCGTCGTACGTTCAGCGCCATCGAAGCGACACTGTTGCTTGGGACTCGACGCGTTTGCAAGCGCGTCATTAACGTTTTGCTGTGTTCCAAGTCCCAAGGGCGTTCATATAGAAAGGGCCTGAGATTTCGTAGAGTGATTAAAGACGAGGGAGTGAAAGAGAGAGAGGGAGAGAGAAATTATCACGAATTGAATTACATTCCGACGTACAGAGCTTATCGGGAGTCTGCAAACTCGCGCCCCCCCCCCCCCTCCCCGCCCCGCTTTCCGTTTCACCCTCTTTCCACACGGAGCCCCGACACGAGTCGCGCGAAACTCGAGCCAACGTAATTCCGATCACCGAGCGGTCGGTCCCTCGGCGAAGCGGCCGATCGACGTTTCTCACGGCGAGGAACGAAGAAAAGCACACGATCGAAAATCTCGGGAGTCGAGTCACGTCGGCCCGCGAGGAGTTTGCAAGCTTCCACCTCACGTTCTCTTTCTTTTTCTAGCTGCGTCACTGGTGCCTCCTCGATTTTAAACGGGGAAAAAGTATCTACGCCTACGCGGTGACGTTCGTCCAGAGGCACACACACTTTACCGTTATATATAGAATCGAAACGGCTATCGTAAGTTTTGTGTTGTACAGCTTGGCGCCTAGCTCTATGTACCATAATGTTATTATAACGCGTAAGGAGTTGTTCCACACAGAGCCCTTGTGTATTCCCCATCTCTCGGTCCACACACCCTTCCTTTCCTCCCGCCCTTCATCCTTAAATGCCACCCCTTTAAATTTCGAATACTTGTACATACGTATGCAACTACGAGAAATGTCCTTTCGCGAGGGTACCTTCGACGAGGTCCTGCGGACTAATGCCGGGCGGCACGAACGCAAATAATTCACGAAACGAGAGATGTCGCGGGTTCGATTCGCGAAATCCGATATTCCCGCGACAAGGTGGACTGGAATCTCGTCGAAGGTGCGGCTGTCGGACGTACGTCCTTTCGCGATACATTGGTCGACTGGAATGAATGAACCGTTCTGATTGGACAATGTATTCACAGTCATCGCGCGACTAATCATCGAGCATCGATCGCATGTGATCCCGAGTATTCGCTCGCGATACTTGGAACGGGTGGAACGGTGAAGGAGAAGAAGAAGAAGCAGAACGGCGCGCGCGCGGCATCGCGTCGTATATTCCCATAGTCGAATTATACAATGCCCGACTTCGCCGTTTCATCATCGGTCGGGGCGAATGCTCGGAAACCTCGCGAACAATGAGACTCGTGAGTGTCTCGAAGATATCTGCCGCTGTGTTGACATTTTTACGATCTTTCACAGGTATTTCGGAAGCCGAAATATTTCGCGGGGATTTCGAAAATTATCGTCCTGCGATTTGATGTCGTGCGCGATCTCGTTTGTGTGTATGTGTGTGTGTTTGTGTGTGTGGGTGTGTCGTTGTTGTTGTTGTTGTTATTATTAGGAACCGTAGACTTGGAAGTTGTTCATATCTTTTCGTTGACGAAGTTAACTCCGTCGATTTGTGCGAGAGCGTCTCGTTGGTTTCTCGTTATCACTTTCGTTTCCTCAGCTTGCTAGATCCTTCCCGAGTATCTACCGTTGCAACTCTATCAAATCGCGGATAATTTTCGAGACCGCGCCGATCTGATTTCTAGTCTCGTCTTGTCTGACACAGAAGAAGAAGAAGAAGAAAAAAACATAATTCGCGAGTTCGCAAAGAACGTTAATTAGGAAAGAGGCGCGCTCGGACAAGGAAGTGTCGCACGTCGCCATGTGTACGCTGCACGCCCAGCAGCCCTTAAATGCCGACAATCAAGGCTAGTGCAACTAATCAAATGATAATAAATAGAAACGGAGAGATGAGAATCTACTTAATAATTTTAATGAGTATACTCGTGAACGATCGCTGTGGTTCGTGCGTATTGTAAGACCGCGAGACGCGAAGCCCGTGTCGGCGAGCTATCGGCGGCCGAAGTGGCTTCGCGGGGGCGATCCTTCGCGAAGATAAAAGTAGACGCGAAGGATCGTTATAGGTCGAAACGATGTGCCCGCTGTTGACCGTAGAAAGTACAAAGATGTAACGCGTAATGGAGGGAACCGGAGCCTCGGAGAATTTTGCGTTACCTTCCGTGACGACTGCGAAATAGACCCGATCCTCGAACGCGAACGAGACAGTTTTCTCGAACAGGCGCCGTCGTCTTTTTCGCTCTCTTTTAATATTCATTAAATATACCCACGTAAACGAAGCTTATCAAATTAACGCGATATATTAACACGTACAATGCGCAACGGACGAGAGGCCCCTCCATTACGCGGCCAATGAATGGTCGTTTGTAGTGAAAAACAAAAAGTTCGTTGTCAACAATATCGCTTCCATTTATCCCCGAGTAAGTATAACGCGAGCGATCGAAAAGCGATTCTTTCGATCGGAGAAGCGAGAAGAAGAAGAGTGACCGATCGGTTGATTGAATGAGAATCGGAAGAATGAGAAAACCGCGGAGAATTAAGAAACGGAGAAGAAGAGGAAATTGGAAGGAGGAAGAGGAGGAAAGGGAGAGGCAGGGAGAGAAACAGAGCGGTAGAGCGAGTGAGAGAGAGAGAGAGAGAGAGAGAGAGAGAAAGAGTGTGTGTGTGCATATGTAAATTCCACAATCAATTATTAAATATAATAACGGCAGAAAGTGTGAGAGGCAAATTAAACGTAAGCATAGGCGCGTCGGAAAAAGAAAAAAGAAAAAAAGACGATTATCACGAAGGCAGGCACGCAAACAAGCATGCGCGAGTTATGAAATTAATCGCAACAGAGAAACCTTGGTAGCAGCGCATAAGGGTATCTATAGCTTTTGGTAACGTATTATCGCCGCTAGGCTAAAGAGAAAAAAAAACACATAAAATACAAAAAAAGATACACTCATATGGACACACATAAAAAAAACAACACACAAGTTCACACGCGTACACATCTATACATACACATACACACACACATACACACGCACGCACGCGTATACACCCCACATGCTAAATGAAAAGAAACCGATAACTCACACGCGGAACGCAATTTCAGATTTGGGCCCGTGCGAACGCACGCACGAACGAACGACAAATTCACGTGGGTTGGATGCACTCGTCGCATAGATCGATCGGTCGATTGATCGCGAAAAATGGCCGTATCAACGCGAAACAATTGGAGGAAAGGGAGATAAAAATCGATTCGTTGATTTTTCACGGTGGAAAGAAATAGTCGACGAAATAGTCGTAAAAAAAAAAAAAAGAAAAACGTCTCTTTGGATGATCGATAAAAATGACGTTTCACTTGAGTTTCAAACACTTTTTAAATCTTCATCATCGAACTTATACGAACGAAGTGGAAGTTGATGCGTAGAAAATATCGATCTTTGATCGTTTGACGATCGATCCTGTTAGCGACCAAGAAAGGGAAAGAATGAAAAAAAGAGGAAAAGAGAACAAATCGACTTTTTGGCGACGAGTGATCGCTTTTGTTCCAACGATTTGTAACTCGAAACGAGTCTGTGCTTGCTCAGCACCGTGTCCGGCTGTCTCGAAAGATTGTTTTTTATATCTATTTCATGGAAACGCGTGACGCGCGTTCTATGAGAGAGCCACGGACGTCGTTCGGATCGCTCGATCGATTCTCGCCTTCGATACGTAGCGCGGAACGGGCACGAAAGTTATTTCTACTTCGATTTTTGGCGATATTCGCACGGACCTGCACAGGAAATATCCACGAAATCGGCCAGTCGACGGTTCGTACGTACTAATTATGAAGGGGAAAAAAAAGAAAAAGAAAAAAAAAATGAGCGATCTCTTTAGAAAATATCGAGGATCGGAGAAACACTACGAAATTTATAACGTTTTGATATTTGAAGTCTCTTCGTGATATCAGCTTATGCATTTATTAATCCAATAGAACTTATCAACATTTATTGAACGAATCTTCGAGTCTGATTTATCGGACGAATCGGTGAAGTTGGCAGGAAATCGTGAATCGATTAGATCCGAAATTTCAAGGCACGACTACAGCTGACTTCTCGTTCATAGTCGTTAGTCATGCGTCGCCGATTTCGCGGATATCGTCCAAGTTATCTTCCACGTAACACTCACGAGATAATCATGTTATTAAGACTCTGCGTTTTTTAATATCAGCGAGAGCTCGGCCCGGGCATCGGGCGGACAAAGTGTTTTCAATAAACTGTTACATTACCTGAAGTTATTCTTAATTCTTCCTCAACATATTGCGCGTTTGACAGGCCGACTGGCGAGAGCGTGTAAAAGTCGGATCGCGGATTTCACTGGTTATGGTCTCTCTTCGTCGAAGAGGGAGGAAACGGCGGCGCTTGAAGCGGAAGAAATCGCGCGGAAGGAATAATCGCTCGAAGAATCGGTAAATCGTATTGACAAGAGACGCGTATCGTCGATAGCACGTGTTACTTGAAAGTTGCTCGAAATGTTCAAGGCTGCACGAGCATCCGTACAGAACGCGTTCGAAAACCCTTCGCGAAGTCAAAGTAACGACGGATCTAACGGAATCTCACGTTCTATCGAGACGTTCGTCTGACAGCAGCGTCGTGTATCTCGGCTCGTTTCGCAAGAATCCGCAATTTGTAACATTGGAGGACAGTAATGAGAGCTTTTTCCAAGAGAGTCGTTCATCCGAGAACACGGAAGCGTGAAGAAGCGAAACTATAACGCCACTCGAGGTAACAAAATACGTCGTTCGCACTTATTAAAGATCCTCCAGGATTTTGTCTCGTCCCGTCAGAATGTGAACGTACGTAATAATACTTTACGAAATTGATTGCACATAACTGAGAACGTCTTTTACAATATGATGAGACTCAGGAAATTGCATTTCTTACACGTAATCCCGGCCGTTTATTTTGTGAGGCAAATACGTAGCCGTGAGAAAGTTTTTCGAGAACGAGGACACCGCCTCTATTTCCGCCTTGCCTTTCCGCAATACTTTCAGCTGTTCCGACACAACTTCGTTCACGTAAGTCCGGCCCTCGATGGACTTCAATTTCGCGACATCGGTCTTAGTGAGCGGGATTGTTTTCACTCCTAAAGCGCTCAATTCCGAGGGAAAGATCCCGAGCCAGCGCGCATTTGGACACGCCAAGCTTTCGTTCCCTTTGCAGAGAACCGTGGAGCCGAAGCTGCGGAAAATGCATCCCATATAATAGAAGTCTCGAGTGTCTCTCGAAAATCAAATTTACCCAATTTACGTCACTGAGAAATTTACGCAAGTTACGACTCATATCTCGCATCCAGCGCGCAGATCGCGACAGAGTAAACGTGAAGAGAAACGCGGGTTCTCAAGACGAGAAATCGTAGTAAAATGTGTCGGCGACTCGGGCCGAATTACCGATAGTTTAACATGATGTCCACGCCAAAAGGGTCCGCGTCCACGACTATGTAAACCGGTAAGTCCAACTTGTCGGACAGCAGCCTGACCAACATCTTCGTGGCTGTGTCCGGGTAGCCCTTACCCGTCACCAGAACGCAGTTCAAAAGGCGAGGGCAATTTTCCTCGAGCAACTTCTGAAAAGCGGCGTCCTTCTCGACCACCAGAACGAACTTGGCTTTCGCGCGGATGGAAGTCACGTTCGAGACGATCTGCGGGATCAGCGCGCCTCCCGGTATCGCACAGTCGATGACTCGATTGTCGACTAGCGTGATGCTCATGTTGCCCGCCACCAATCCTTTAGCCGTCGCCAGCAATCCTGGAAAGACTCCCGCTTATCGGTTTCGCGTACTTATCGTCATCCTATTTTATTTATTTATCTTTTACTTATTTTAATCGCTCCCCGCTGTCCTTCAGCCTAGTTTGATTTAGCCGAGATTCTTACAATGTCCTTCTCCGTAATCAAGTAGCGCTCAACGGACTTACTCAGATCCCACGGCGCGCATTCCAACAAATTCGCGACGTCGTTCAACGCGCGATCGACGTATCGTTGTTTGGGCGCCAAGCTCTCGATCGCTTGACTCTTCAAGTCGTAGTAGAACGATCGTCTGGTCTTGGTCGTGTTCGTCAGTAACAAACGATGCACCTCTGCCATTATCGTCGTCATCAGGACGAATTTGTCCCTGCTGCGTTTCGTCGCGAAATCGACGTTTATTCTTCTCGAATTTCCATCGGCGTTCTCCCGCGCGTCTCGCTCTTTAGCGACGTCGAGCGAAGACTCCCCGGGATATTCCGTATCCTGTTGAGAATCAATCGAACGTCCCGGGTGAACGGCTTCTTCGCGCGAGCCGGATTCCCCGGTGATGGTCCCTCCATCGACATACGATATGCACGGTGGTTGCCCGGAGGATATCTGTTCTATTATCTTCAGCGTAACAGCTTCGACGCGCGCGATTAAGTTATTCCTAGGCGTCGTACGCAACGAATTTGGTTTACAATACGCACAATGTGTCGAAGTTTGCGCATAAGTTTCAAATTGCAAGTGCAAATAAGAGAATAAACACGATACACATTGGACTGATAAGTTTAACCGGGCATTTTACCTGAACGCTACATTGTCGACTATTGGTATGTCGATGCGCTTCTCTTGAACGCCCAAATATCGATTGCTGATGGACATGGGATTTCGCCACCGAAATTGTCGGTCTACCCTTGGCACTTTGCTTTTCTAAATAGAAAATAATACGGTGCGTGACGAAATAAATGGATCGATTATAAAATTGATTAACGTAACATTGATATCTTATCGTGTATTATTTATTGCATTAGACGCGCTTTCTCAAGAAGATGAAACGTTACGAATAAAAAGATAAATTTATAGGAATAATCGCTCAGGGATATTGTTATTTATCGTGTATGAGTAACATATTTTCAACATTCTTGGTCAAGTTAGTTTTCCTCTCACTCGACAGATGACTTCAGCGTACGCAATACGGCGCTTTCGCGCAGGGATCGCTTCTACCGGTAGAACTGATCGATTTTTTTTTTTTCAGAATAAACGGTTATCGTTACCACCGTTTGGTCGCTTTATGGAATTTTTTATCGCACGTTTTATCGCACTTATCTACGGCTCGGTATAAAAATGCGCGTAACCCCTCGCATGAGAATCAACCCGCTCTACCTTTCGAAGGTTCGCTACATTTTCCAACGTTCAAGATCATAAAGGAGTTTAAGATCATAAAGAATTTACGAGGTCCCTTCGCAATAAAACGATGATAGATGCGTGGGAAAAGCAAATTGGCTTTACAAAAGTATCCTTTGTGGGAAATAATGGCGGCTGTCGGCGACGAGATTTCGTATCAGTCGTTACAAATCTACCCGCAAAAATGCCACCGTAATACGATTAATCGCAAACACGCCGATACGATAACGTTTCATCGCAGCATAACGATAAAACGTGCGTTTGTTTGTTTGTACTACGGCGAATTAATGCGTGGGTCAGTATCATAGAAAGAAATCACCCAGTTATTTCCGTTAATTTCACCGATAAGAAATACAATTGATTTTTATCTCGCCCGCTTTCGTCCGCATTAAATTCGTACTTGTGTGAAAGCGCGTGTCATTGACTCCGTGAATATCGCGCCGATTTATGCGCCGGTGCGGCGTGAAAAATCACGGCATTGAAAGGATCGTCATTAAGACCGACAGAGGAGAGCCAGAACGGTGAGAAGAGGAGAGAAGAGAGGGGTAGAGAGCGAAGGATCCGGATTTCGCTTTTCAATCGTCGTCGAATGTTACGAGACGAGTTAAAAAGCGACGCGAGCAGATAAAAATCTACCGTCTACACCGAGGCCGACATTCTCACAGCAATAAACATATTAAATCCCAGTATGGCGGGGCAAAGTATTGGCCGCGGTGACCCTGCCTAGGCCCCGTGCTAGGGTAGACATTAATTTTTCTCTCGATCACACACACCGGCGTTCGTATCGAAGTGGCGAATCTCGAGAGAGCACCGGACACCCCGCTGAGCATTTGTGAGCACCGACCATTGAACGGCGCGCTACTGTACGCGCTAAAGACACTTCAGGGACTTATTGTGAGCGCGACACACACCCCTTACTGCAAAACGTCCGATTGTAACGAAATTCGACTGCGAACTCGCCGCCGATTTCGTCGAGAAAGCCACCGGGGAAACGACTAATTAGCCGTTTCTGAGATACAAGATGGTTTTAGAATGATTTCGATTCCAAAGAGAGAGAAAGAAAGAGAGATAATTGTACACAGAGGAAAATATCATTCTGCTAAGAAAAGCGGTTATTCAGTTTACTTTCCTCTTTTATAAGTGTAATGAGTTATCCTCAACGAAGAACATTCTCTCAATGATAATCTTTGAACATACTCACCCCAAGTTTTAGAAACCAGCATTATCATTCAGCCCAAAGAAGAATTTATTCGAGGAAATAGCGTGGAAATGGCGTACTCTCCCACGCCATACAAATTCCCCATAATGATCTATTACAAGCGTCAACGCAAACGTATACAAACTTATTTGCAAACGAGCGGTATGCGCACCGTGCGGGGACAATGAGTGCTAACGAGCGACTGTGGGGGTGACTCTCGACGTGTGCCGAAGTATTTCAACGAATAATCCGATGCACGCCGGTTCACTCGGGAGGGAACATTTGCGACAATCTTGCGAGCGTTGATCTAAAGAAGGAGAGAGAACCGGACCAAAGAGCTACGGTAAATATTCGCGTCGACAAGCGTCAGTCGTACGCGCGATCATTCACGAGGCCGAAATACCGTCTCGGAAAGAGAAAGAAAGAAAGAAAGAGAGTTCCGGCCTCTTAGATGCTCATAACGGGACTATTCATGAAAAAGTAATACCGGGGCGGCCGAGCGTCGTGACGCTCGGTTTTTGCATTAAAGACACTCCAAGGCTGCGCTGTTACAAAGGGGGATAGTGTTACATTGTGCGACAACGAGCACACAGCGGAGAGAAACACCCCTGAGAATGGCAGCCCTCAAATAGCCCGTATATAACTATATAACACGCGTCGTCGGCGCGTCCTCAAAATGTCGGTTGGAGACACGACACGAGGAAGGCTACGATGGATCGCGTAATCCTTCACGAAATCTCAGGCGTTCCATACGCCTCGTCGAGGCGTAACGTAAATCCGCGAACGCGAAGGTAACTGGACGCCCGGCCTTTCACGAACGACGCACGTACGTGGGTATGTGGAGAGCCTTTACCGCCCCCTTACGCGGTACATACCTGCCGAATCTTTTGACTTCCGGCTCGCAAGAACGTGCTTCTCGCAGTGAGATCGCGGGATCGACAATTGAACACGAACTTCCGCGAGTCTCGTTTCCGCGATAATCCTCTCGTTTCGTAAATACCACCACCCCCACGATTTGAATACGGACTTGAGGGCTGAACGTTCGCGGTTAAAACGCCGATCGAGAGCGTGAAGAATACCTGTCGCACTCTGTCAACTAGCTTCCTCCCGGAGGTCAGGGATTTTCGAAATCCGACACGTCAGGCATTCAACAATCGCGCAAGACGTAAATGCCCCGAATCGAATACCGAATCGACCATGTTCGGGGCCTTGAGTCTATTCAGGAAATCGTAACAGTCGAGGTTTTCGATCAACCGGGAGATCGGATCTCGCCGTCGTTCCTTTATTCACGTCTTCGTCTGCGTTCGAGGCGATTTTCAAAGATACCATCAAATTTGTCCAAACAGCGGGCATCGCGGCTGCGTAGCCGTAGGGGTTGCCCAACGTACAAACTTGGAATAAAGAAAGTCGAGAGGGTGACTTCTAGTCAAAGCTACCCGCTTCCGATGTTTGTCCGCGTTAATTGTACGGCGAAGAAAACGCATATTTTTTATGTTTCATACCTTCATCGAAATCATCGTCGAACGTTCGACTTTCAGAGCCAACCTTCGAATCTTCGGAAATTCTCCCGATTCTCCCAACGAGAGCGCGAACGTTCGATCGCGCGGAGTGCACTCATCGAAGCTACTCGATGCGGTTTCCGGGGGATCGAACGACGTTATTGTAGCGACCGCCGTGTTCGCACACTATAAAGAGGGTTTGACGTGCGGTACTTGACTTAAGCGTCAGCTTGGGAAAACCTCTCTGCAAAACGACTGTCCCCGAGTTGAAATTTCGGTTCCACATCAATCCTGCGATTATTGTCAAGCCTCTTGCGGGATTAATGTGGAAAATCTAAAGATATTCCAGCACTATGCAAACTATCGTCCTACTTCGATGCGACAAACGGTTAATTATTGCCGCTTACTCTATGTTGAGACTTGAATGGGCACTTACTCAAGAATTATTTAATGCTCGATTACTTCAATATTCTACCAGCGTTTCATTTGCATTCAAGTTCGACGGGATATCCAGGATTAACGTGGAAACAAAACTTTGGCTCGGGTGGTCACGTGACGCTGTTGAAACTATCGGTCGATCTCGCGTTCTCCAACGTGATATCGTGACTCGACGCGAAGATTTTCTCTTTAAAAGTAGACACATTATCCGCGATGCTGTACATCGCGAACGACACGTTTCCCGAGATTGCATTTTTCAGCGAGCGTACGAATCAATTAAAATCCCTCTCGAGAGTATTCGCGTCGATTTCAAGGTGACCGATCGATGAAGAAAATGGTTTCGTGCGAGTGCATTACATGCCAATTTGATACGTCTTCACTGCGTAATCACTTAACGAGCACTTATGTTTCCCTCAAATTCAGCATTCCTTTAATAACAGGCCAGAGCTCGGGGCTAAATAAGATCTCTGCGTCTACTCGACGCGACGCTTTATTACACGTCAAACGTTTTCACGGTTACATCGAGGAGGACAAAGAACCGTGCGTGGCGTTTCAAGGATGGACCCGACGTGTATGAGAAAATGACGAGTAGGAAGAAGTTAGGGAAAAGACGGAGGTGAATACACGCGAGAAAGGCAAAGTGGGAATCGAGGCGGATCAAGATCAAAATTGAAGATAACGAGGCCGTTTTGCGCGCGCGCACAACGAGAAGAAAGAAAGCGCCGAACGGAGGTGAAAGTCCAACTCGGAAGAGTAGGGTCGCACTTGTAAAGAGTTCGACGACTCGTCGGCGGCGATGAATGACGCGGCCACGGGCGAGCGAGATGAGGCAGAAACTGTCGCAATCTTCTTACGCGTGTGCCGCTCTGGCCGGGTAATGCTAAGTGTAGGTCAGTTATACCAGAAGAACTGGTTCGATCGGCGAGCCGTCAATTAAGAGAAGATGAGAGGCCTGTTGTTTCACACTACTTTAGAAGGCCGTTTATCGAGCGCCTTATCAAAGGCGCACGACAATCTCGTAAAAATTAAAACAAGCGATACACATTTCGGGGAAAATCGTTTAATTAACGCGAGGATTGAGCGTCAAAGCTTGACGGTTATCGTCATCTTAATCCCGGATCAGTCATGGGTTGGTTTTCTGGGTAACAGAAAAAAGTGCTGATTTAAATAAACAATTACTCCAATACTCCCTGGCAAATTTGTTACTTGGATAAAATAAAATATTTACTTGATCAAATCAAATATTTATTTGATCCGAGTATAAATACTTTCTAAGATTTATAAGAAATGCAAAAAGAATAGCGTGACCGTGCAAGTATTTATGTAACATAACATTTTAAGGA